CTGCGCCCACAAACGGGCAATATATAAAAGGTGAAGAATTCACATTTTAAAATATATACGTTTTTGCTTTCCACAGGCACAAGCACGCATTTAAGCAGCGAGACTTCTAGATCAGTGTTTCTCAACCTTGGCGACTTTAAGTCCACAGGACTTAAAGTCGCCAAGGTTGAGAAACACTGATCTAGAAGTCTCGCTGCTTAAATGCGTGCTTGTGCCTGTGGAAAGCAAAAACGTATATATTTTAAAATGTGAATTCTTCACCTTTTATATATTGCCCGTTTGTGGGCGCAGACTACGATAGGGAGCCCGTAGGCGGTCAAGCACAGGATGCTCCAGAAAGTTCTCTTGCGGGGTTTGCTTGGGGCCGAACAGCAAACGCATCGGCTTCTGTGGCCGCATCTGTGCTCTGTGTCTTAAGGGGATGGAGAGTTGTAGCATGAAGTCTCCAGAGGATTTTGGGGAACTGGGAAGTTAAATAACTTCAGGACACTATTCATGAATGTGGTCGTGCCATTTCTGAGTTATTTCAGTGACGTTCTTTGAAGCGGGGGGGGGGGGGGGGAATATAAGTTGAGTCAAAGTCTGAAATAATCACGAGAAATGAAGGAGACCAGTAATCAAGGTTGCAATTTACTTTTGGTTTTATATATTACTGTAAGGCCCTATTCAGCGTTTACCCTGAAGACAAAAAGGACACGTAGAGGTCATAAAGCCGCCTCCTATTTCATCGTGATTTGAGGTGCTCTGAGGGCTGACCGGGTCCCTCTCGAAGGCTAGAAAGCAGAACTTTACCAAGGATTTGGGCCAAGGCTAAAAGGAAGGCAGCGTCTTTCTGGTTTACCTTAATGTGTGTCTTGGCCCTTTTCAGGAGGCTGAGGGTGGTGTGCCGGGTGCTCTCGGCGCCTAAAGGAACCAGCTGCTTTAACTCCTCTAAATAGAGCCTCAGCTTCGCCCGCCTGAAATGAACAAAAACGAGAGATTGGCTTTGGTCTCATTAGCATTCAAAATACTTCTGACACAATCTTAATTGCAAATAAATAAAACGTATTTCACTAGCATTCATGCCTCCCAGCTACTGCCTACAAGAGATCCCCTCGGACGTTTCAGGTAATGTGTAAACAAACCCTCCCTGTCCAATTCACCAAATACAGCAAAATCGTAAGTGCAGAATAGGAGCCACACAACACAGTGTATCAATCCATGCAAACAGCATGACTACAGTGTGTTCTCAGGATATGGTTTGTCCACATTGAAGGCAAAGTCAACAATGGAAGACGCCCTGGGCCAAGCACGATTCCTGGGGATGGGATCCCTGAAGCTTTCTTGGAAGGGATCTGCTGTTTCTTTCTTCCAACATGCTCTTAAAGCTAAATGGTGGCCCAGCAATGTCAAGTTCAATTATTCAATAATCATTCAATTATTTTAATTACTGATACACAAAGTTCCTCCTTTTCCTGAGCCTCCTTTTTCTAACCTTTAGCAATATTCTCTTTGAGGCAGGGAAAATGAAAAACATCTCCAGCCTTTCCTCCAAACCAAGCGTTCTATTCCACCTCCCAGGCAAAATCTGCCCAGGGAAGAAACCTTTGGCCTTGTGGCAGTTTCGGCTGTTCCACAGCTTCCCAAGATCTGCAAAGGACAGCTGAGGTGTGTCACAGTGGACTGAAATATGCAGAATGTTCTATCATAAACTTTGTATTAATTCATTCATTCATTCAGGCTCTTCCTAACGGGAATTTTCTTTCCTCACTGACAACCGGTATTTTCACTGAGCTATGCTTTTTTTTTTTTTTTTTGCACACTGAGCCGTCTTTGCCATGTTCATTCACCAACACCCAGGCCCATTTGGAGGAAGGAGAAAGAACTTGCCATTTAGATCAACACAAAATAACGCAGGAATCCAAAAGCATCCCCCCCTCCCCCCCGGCGTTATTACTGTTTATTTGCTCCCTTGTAATAAAAGATGGTGCATGGAAACAAAGGGTTGGTTAAAAAAAACCCCTTTTGGTTGGATACAGAAACTCTTCCTCGCTCTCTCCTAAAAGGTTTTACTTGGGCCCCCTCAAATCTCCCACTGGCTCTGCTTGCGACCACTAAAGCCTTCCTTCCTTCCTATCTGGGTAGATTCACCCGTGAAACCAAGAGACTGGGAAAACCAAAAAAGCCATTCCTTCCATCTAAGTCTGCCTGCCCTTTGAACTTGGTTAAAGCGAAATGAATGGTTTTCCCAGTACAAATATTTGTGTTGTTCAAAAAGTGTCAGTAGAAAGATTCCGAAACTTGACTTTTACGTCCACCAGTATAGATCCTGGAGTTTTGTGGTGAAGGGATATAAAACTTCCCAGGTGGCAAAGTCCTTGGGTGTTCAGGGGAGCGACTGGTCTGATTGGTTGAATGGTCATGCAGAGAACACCGGATGCCTTTCGAGGCCCAGCGGTCACTAAGAGAAGAGTCTGTCCCTGAGGGGGATGAAGTGAGGGTGGAACCCGATTGTTTTGACTGTGTGGAAGAGGTGGGTGCCTCCTTTATCTTCCCTCTGGGGTTTCTTCCCAGTTCAAGGCCGAGGGCCGGGAGGCAGGCAGTGAAGGGCTTCAGACTTGGTTCCCGTCCAAAGTCTCCTGTCTATTTTGCCATGACTGGACGGCTACCATGCATCCCTGGGAAATGCTCCTGCTGCTGCTGCAGTTGCTGCATTCAAAGTTGCAAGCCCATGTTACAATTCACCCCTCGCCTGTTCCAGAGCCCCCCGGGATGCAGTCCTGATTGAAGGGTGGGGGAGTTGGGGACGGGCCTTCTCTTCCCTTTCTTTTCAACCTTTACAAGGTGGAGATTTAGACCTTGGGCAGCAGGTACACTGGGCCTGTGGTCTGCTTCAACAGGCCGTCCCCAAAGACCAATTTTTAAATGTGGGACCGGAAACAAAATTAGAATAATTCTTTCAAGTTTGTAATATGCATATTTCTCAATAGCTTCCTCAGTTAATTGGGCCTTTTAATGAAGTGATGAAACTTGTAACTGCTGATCTGCCTAAAGGAAAGGATTGCTTCATCCTTTTCCCTCAAGCATCTTCCAAGAAGAAATAGAGGCCTCTGAAATGTCTCATTGTGTGGGCAAAAAGCAGTCACTACTTGCAAACGGAGCCAAGAAAGGGGTGTTGGGAAAGCAGAGTTTAATCTATGCTCTCAGCCTGTGAAAACTGGCATTCCACAGTATCTTCTTTAGTCATTTTATTTAATAAACTTACATGGCCACCCACTTGGCAAATGATGCAGGGCAGCTGACAAGCACTACAAATGTTCCCAAACAAGGAAAATGACAAAGTAATGATATATATGTGTGTGTGTGTGTGTGTGTGTGTGTGTGTGTGTGTGTGTGTGTGTGT